GAATATATTTTCTGTACCTTTGAGTTGGTATTCTTCTCCTTCTTCTATCCCTATTATTTGTAGATTTGGTCTTTTCATGGTGTCCCAAATTTCTTCGACATTTTGGTTCATGACTTTGTTGGCCTTAGTGTTTTCTTTGACTGATTAATCTATTTTTTCTACTGTATCTTCAATGCCAGAGATCCTTTCCATCTCTTGCATTCTGTTGGTTATACTTGCATCTGAAATTCCCTATTGTTCACTCAGATTTTCTATTTCCAGCATTCCCTTTGTTTGTGTCTTCTTCATTTTTTCTATTTCCCTTTTCAGGTCTTGGACTGTTTCCTACATTTGTTTCATTGCTTTTTCATGATTTTCTTTCAGTACTTTATTGTTTTTTTCCAGGACTTTATTGTTTTCTTCTACTTTGTTTGCCCTTTCCTCTAGTTGTTTATAGCATTCTGCCCATTTTTTTTGTCTTTTCTTCTATATAAGCCTCTACCTTCTTCATGATTATTATTCATAAGGCTGTTTTCTTCTGCTTCTTCCAATTTTTGATGTTCAGGTGTAGATGTTGGAGGAGGGCTACATTTTGGTGATGCTGTATTGCTCTTCATTTTGTTGTATGTACTTCCTGCCTTGACGTCTGCCCATCTCCTTGTGGTTGGTTCTTGGTCTTATCAGCATACTTGGTTCAGACAGAGCTGACAGATTCAGGAAGTCTCTCTCTCTTGTCCAGTTGGGAGCTCTCTTGTCCAAATGGGAACTCTGGGCCAGGATGGGAGCTCTTGTCCAGAAGGGAAGTCCGGGGCAAGATGGGAGCTCTCTCTGGTCTAGAAGGGAAGTCTGGGGCAGGATGGGAGCTCTCTCTGTGGTCCAGAAGGGAACTCTGGGGCAGGATCTAAATGTCTTTTTAGAAGAGTTGCCATGGTTGCTGGGTGTGCTGGCACATGTCTTTAATCCCAGCACTTAGGAGGCAGAGCTAGGTCATTCTCTGTGAGATTTGGATTAAGTCCTTTGGCAGAGTATTATGAATTTGCACCAGTAGGAAACCCCTAGCTGGCCAGGCCAGGATATCCCTTGCATGAGGGAAAACATGCTGGGCAACTGCAGTGGGTGTGACGGCATGTGGAAAGTCATTCACACCCAGTAGCTGCATCAATGTGGACAGTTTATTATAACAGAGAGATGAAAACAAGATAGGAAATAGGGAGATAAGGCAGTGATGGTGCATGCCTTTAATCCCAGGACTCGGGAGGCAGACACAAGTGGATTTCTGTGAGTTCAAGGCCCGCCTGGTCTACAAAGTGAGTTCCAGGACAGCCAAAACTATTACACAGAGAGACCCTGTCTCAAAACACCACACATCTGCTTTCTCTCCCTTCTCTTTCCTCCTTATCTCCCTCTTTCCTATTTTTGTTTTCATCTCTCTATTATAATAAACTTTCCATGTTGATGCAGTGACTGGGTGTGAATGACTTTCCACATGCTGCCACTCCCACTGCAGCTGCCCAGCATGTTTTCCCTCATGCATGCCATACCCTGGCCTGGCCACCTGGGGGTTCTCCACTTGTGCAAATTCATAACACAAAAAATCTCAAAGCAGTTTAATATAGACTCTGTCATGTGGTTACTAGTATTCATGCTTATAAAGATTTATAATGAAAAGGAGCAAGCTGAGGAGAAAAGGAGCAGCAGGAAGTGGAGTGGAGCTAAGTCCTATGTTCAAAGAGATAAACAGATTAAGAAATGGATTAAAGGGCTGGTGAACTCAGGGCAAGATCCCATCCAGCTACATTTCCAGCTTGTAAAAAGGAATAAATGAAAGCTTGCAGCCAGGTGGGTGTGGTAGTGCATGCCTTTAATACCAGCACTCAGAAGACAGAGGCTGGCAGATCTCTGACTTTTAGGCCAGCCTGGTCTATAGAGAAAGTTCAAGGATAGCCAGGCTTAGGCAGTGAAGATAACCACCAAAAACAGAAATCTGGTAAAGATTTATAAATGTTGCTGTGATCCTGGTGTCTCTTCACAGCAATTGAATCCTTAGGACAGTAAGCATTGGAGAACTTGAAGAAGATACATGACAGCCTTCACCCTCAAAGGTTCAGATTACATCAGTGGGACCAGTCTGGGGCTAAGAAGTCTGCATTTTGTTCAGGGGAACATTTCTTTAAAATGAACTTTATCCCCTTTAAAAGAAATCAGTTGTCTTAATAATTTCTTTTCAGGAAAGAATAAAGAAATGCTTCTTCTGTTTATCACCTTAGACTTTAAGAGCACCAGGTGTATTGACCTCATAGTATGTGCTAGAATTTCTGTTCTCAACACAGAGGATGCTTGCGTTGTCTTGGGGTTGAATGTCTATTGTTCTTGGGGTTGAATCTAAGGGGATTAGAGTCCACAACAGGAAGGACACAATTCAGAAGGTATGCACATACACCCAGAGGTGAGTTAGTTACTGTGTTTCAAGCAACAAGAATGTGTCCAATCTCTTGTAGTGATAGAATGGTCCCTGTCATCAAATAGTCTATATTTTACTGGGTGATAGGCATATAAATATGTGAATGCAGTAAAATATTATTTGTGTCATTATAAGGACATATGTAGAATATGGGTGGAAACTGTAGTGTCAGCTCTCACTGGGTAGAGAAAACAGTAGGGAAGCTACACAAGAAGGTTGATGTTTAATCTGAAAACTCTTCCAGGTGTGTGTTATTTGCAGGACTAATAAGAGGGAGAAGAAATTCCAAGCAGACTGAAATGGCAGTTGAGGTATGGGGGTCGGAAATAATTTGGAACATTGGCTGTGTGTTGAGAGTGGATTAGATAAGAAATTAACTACCTTCTCAGGGTTTCAGTGTTTCTGAAAGGAGGGCCTCAAGGAAATATTAGTGCTGGATAGTGTATTCACCAATGATTTACTAGGATAGGGGATTTAAATTTTATTCTATATACAATAGGAAGCAATTGGGAGGATTCTAAGCTATGGACAACTTTGATGATTCACAAAACTTATTATTACTTAAAATTTTTTTCTAATCCATTGCCTCGTTTTTGTGAGTTGAGAAGGAAGATTCCATGGGACTACCTTGGAGAAACAGAACAAAATCTTGAAGAAGATGAGCTGATTCATTGATAGATCAGTCCTGCCAGCACTGAGCCACTTGGAGGTGGCCACATTTTCTGTTTATCACTTTCCCCAAGCCTTAGGTTAGAAAATTTTTTCCATAGAACAGCTATGTGGCTCCACAAAAACCTTTACAATTATTTACAAAGTTCACAAATCTTAAGGAGGCTGACTTTGGAGTTCAGGAAATTCACTAAATGAAAACAAAAATCACTTGCTGGTCTAAAGCTTAATTCATGCACACCACACATCTTGTCCAGCCTTATACACTTTCTATTTGGATCAGTAAAATACATGGAAGGTGTTGGAAGTACAATGGTGCTTACATTTCAAGCTATTTGTTTGTTCAGGTCTAAGTGTTGAAAATCCAATGCAAACTATTAGAGCCATGAAAAATTCTACGCAGCAAGTATATTGTGTGTGTCTGATTTGTGTTATTTGCAATTAACTGGTTTTCTTTTGTGAGACCCTCACCACTCCTCCCCATATTTGTTCTTAAGGGGACTCTTTGACAATAAAACTCAGGCCAGTTTCACATTCCCAGAGCTGATGGTGGTCCAACCCCCAGTCTGGGAAAATTCCAAAGCACCTAGTCAAAATAACTGACCATTTAGTGGTGATTGATAAATCATAAGATGTCCTGACTCAGGGACAGCATGACCTGACTGATAGGGTGGACTGTATAACTTCAGACAAAACAATGTAAGACAAGTAAGGATGAAAAAGAGAACAGAGACCTCCAAAAATAAAAATAAATCAATCCGAGTTGCATTTGTGCCAAATCCCCAATGACCCTCAAGGGTCTGTGGTTTTTGCCTTTAAAAAACTAGTCTCACAAAGAAAGAGGAACTCCTCTCTGCCTCACTGCGGTGAGTACTTATGGACAAGTTCCCTGCCGGCTTGTACTATGCGCCTCCAATAAACCTTGCTGTTGCATTCTGGATATCCTTGATCTTTGGTAGTCTCTCTGGGGGTGATTTGGGCATAGCACTTGAATACAGCATTTCTATAATGCTGGCCTAGCACTTATCATCACTCTTAATGTACAAACTCTACTCAGGACTCGTGTACTGGATTTTTTGCTTACAATGCTCAAGTAGAGCTGGAGCCACTTAGCTTAAATTGCATATTTCAGAAAGGAATCTCTTATGTGTAATGTGAAGCCTCAGGACATAAAGATAAAAAATAAACCTGAGCAGCATGATTGATTAATCCTGGTTTATGTTCTACAGCAGAGAAGACCTCCAGATAAGATTCCTCGGATTAGAGTCTTGAAGTTTGGTTGTTAAAGTGCCTGTCCCACAAACATACAACCTGAGCAAAGGTTCCCAGTACCCAGGTAAAAAACTAAGCATAGCTTCCAATGTCTACAACCCCAGGCCAGGAGAGCAGAAATAGGAAATTCCCTGGAGCTCATTGGCCAGCCAGCCTACCCCAAGTAGTGAGATCCAGGTTCAGTGAAGAGACCTTGTCTCAAAAAAAAGTTGACCCTAGGCCTCCCACAGGCTCACAGGTCCTAGTGTTATGCCCAGATCACAGGGACCCCCAAAAGACCACCAGGGAGACCAAATCCCATATGTAAAAGCAAAGAGCCTTTATTTCAAGCTTGAGCTTAGTTTCTGTCTGTCTGATGCAGCAGTGAGAGCAGAGAGACCTGAGCCCATGCAGGGTGGGTTTTTTTTTTTTTTTTTTTTTTAATCATGCAAAGGTTGAGGTGAGGGTATTTCCAGGGTTCAGGACCCTGTTTGGTTGACATTTGTCTAGGGGGTATCTGCAAAAGGGAAATAGTTGTGTGCTAGGTTCAGGGACATCTGGCAGTCTTAGCTAATCTTACCTGATGGTGGGAATGTTTTGGATGTCAGGTTCTTCCCCTCACATGCTGACCCATTCCTAGGTGGATCCCTCAGTGGAATCAGCTTATGGCTTTTCCTAAATCCAGGTGTTGCCTGCCAGTAAGCCTGTCATGTGTGTGGGCTTCTAAGCCTGTCATGGCAGCTATGTGGTCAAGCTGTTTTAGGCCCCCCACACTAGCACCCAGATGGCAGGCCACAACCATCCTTAACTCCAGTACCAAAGGACCCAATGCTTTATTCTGGGTTTTGAAGACACTGGGCATGCAAGTGGTGCATATACATATGCAAACACGAATACTACTAGATATAAAATGAAGACATGTCTTTAAAAAAATTAAGAAGAGCTTGAGATAGGGATCACATGGGAACATCTAGAAAGGGTAGAGGGAACCTGTTGGGGGCCATCCCACCCCCACTTTTCCCCAGGGTACTCTTGAGCAGGAGCAGCAGGAAATATTAGATAGAAATATAGCTGGAGAGAGACAGACAGAAACAGAATAGCCTCGGGAGGGCCTGCATGCTAATCCATTGGCTCTGGCTTTATCTGCCAAAGAGCTTTTAAAGGAATGCCAAGAGGAGGGGCAAAAGACCTCCACCCAGGCACAGCCAAGTGCAGACCCTTCCAACCACCTGACAACCTTGCCCATGGTCAAATCATTCCCTTGTGCAGTTCTGCTGTATCAGGCAAACTCAGATCTCACAAGGAAAGTTCTGTAGGCTCCAGAGGAACCAGATGTAAATAAATTGTAAATTATTGAGGGTGTGCAGGTACACTGCAGAAAGTCTGCCAGCAGGAGGTAGAGATGTTCCTGGAACAAGAGTAGAAACTAAATTGTGTTAAGTGGATGGACCAAGATTTTATCCAAGAAGACATACAGTGGAATGTCTGTTAAGATAGAGGATCTTTTCACATATTTGCAAGCTGTGTGGAGGGCCAAATAGAAAAGATAGTAAGCTTAGGATAGATTGTAAAGCTGTGGAGTTTCTAGATGATGCCTATGGGGTCAAATCCATTGATTGGTGAATGAAGATCCATGGTTCAGGATAGACACATGATAATAACCCTTTATCAATTTTGCATTTCTCTCTCCCTCCTCAGTCCTGAATGACCACATCCCTAACCCACTTTGAAGTTCCCAGACCCTGTTCATGGACCTCATTATCCTTAGGGAGATGATCCCAGGGTTGACTCCTTCCCTTGCAGCATTCTTTTCTTCAGTCCCTTTCCCACACTGCTCTGATCCTAAATGTTCCAAAATTCAACTCCAAGCACAACACTCCTCCATATTGGAGGCTCTAAAGCAATGCAGAGGTTAGAAAAGCCTATCTATCAACCATAGACTCTATAAAAATCACCTTTTACTTTCCAGTATTTCCTCTCCTTGCCTACCGAGTCTTCCTACAGCAATCAAGGCCTAATCTTCTCTGAGGTGATCCTGTAGCCCATAGTGGTAGAAAAATCAGGGGCAACAAGTATGGTGATATTTTATTTGTACTGAAATGTGATTTTATTTGTATGTTAATAAATAAAGTTGCCTGAGGGTCAGAGCTATTAGAGCCATATCAAGAGTGGGCGGTGGTGGCGCATACTTTTAATCTTGATCACATGACAGGCAGATCTCTGTGTGTTCAAGGATACAGCCAGCATGGAGACACACGCCTTTAATCTCAATACCAACCATAGAAGACCTGGAGGTCTCTACAGACAGGCAGTGACAAGGAGGTCATGTGGTTGGGTTTATAACCAATGAGAAGGCAGAACAGAAAGTCAATAAAAAGACAGATACACAGGAAGTAGGTCGCTTGCTGAAGGGAAGGACAGCAGTGGCAGGAAGGGTAAGAAGGTAGTTTAAGTCTCAGCTACTGCTCTGACGTCTTGGACTTTTAACTCTGCATTTGGCTCTGTGTTTCTTATTTAATAAGACTGTTACATCTACAAACAAAGAAGTATTTTTTTCTCCTTTTAAGATCTAGTGGAATCACTTTTCCCCCTCATACATAAGAACAAATTCATTGCTATACACGGAGTCATTCTAGTCAGAGAATGTTATTGAGACCATACATAATGTGTGCTCATTTATGTGAAGATGCATGCATTTCTATGTATGGAAGCTCGGTGGAAGAGCACCAGAAAGAAAGAAAAAAATAAGAACTCAACATCCTTAATTCTATTTTAACAAAATGATTTAAATTACATTTCTTCCAGTTAATGGTTTAGAAAGAAAATGAGGAATAGTCCATGCATTTCACTGGAATGAGCCATCAAAGATATGAATAAATGAACCAAATGAGTTTGTTAAAATGTTTCCCATTCACATGGGATTACACACTCAAGTGAGACTGTGTACATTTATTTGAATATGTAATCAAGGCATTGAACAAAACTGGCACTTACTTCCAAGTACAGTTTTCCTGGTTTACATATCAGGGTATCTTGCTGTGTTGTAAAAAGCAGAAACTGGTGCTTTCTAAATGCATTTTTATGCAATTTTCAAAGCTATTGCTATTGTTCATCATCGTCTTTGCTTCACTGGAGCACCTGCACATGTTATTAGCAATGCTGCTGTCAAATGGGAGCCTAGCATTAAATATCCTTTGTTGTCTGAATATATGAGAAAGTCTGAGCTCATCTATTCTTTCAGTTTTAATATTTATTTTTAGATGTTTAATTATGTTTATGTGGGGGTGGGTATGTATAAAGGAGTATATGTGCCCATGAAAGTCAGAGGTGTTAGAGTCTCCCTGGAGCTGAAGTTACAGGCAGTTGTGAGCTGCCTGATGTGGGTGCTGGGAACTGAACTTGGGTCTTCTGTAAGCAGTATATGCTTTTAAGGGCTAAGTTATATTCCCAAGCCCCATCTCATTTTTGTTAATATGGTAAATATTTATATACCACTAGGCAACATGTTAACATGCAAAACACTTGAATCATCTAGGTATTTAAAAAAAACTGGGTATTTTAATATATAATCTTACTGTTTTTACACTACTAGTTTGGATAATCCTGTTCTGGTTTATGACTTAAATCCTTTTAGCTGATCATATATCAGTTAATTCTTAATTCTTAAGGAATATAAAAGTGTAGAGGGTACCTTAGGAAGATACAAATGTTATAACATGACATAAATATATAGAGACAATATAAATATGCAAAAAATAGTAACCAAATAAAATAATAAATAAAATCTGTACTATCACCTCAATTTGTTCCTGTATTGACAATGGATAAAAGTTGATTTTTTTTTTTTTTTTTTTTTTTAGCATGATGAAGTACAGCATCATGGTGGAGCTATTCCCTGGCCTCTGGTTAAAGCCTGAAACCTCTCTTATTCTTCATATATGCTTGGTTCTGTCTGTCATCACAACATTCACATGGGTGGACACCATGGTCAACACATTCAAGCTCTGCCTACATGCCATAGGTAGTTGCTCTGGATATAGTGAAAATGTAAGAGCCCTTGAAGCAATATGAAGCTACTTGTGAAGGGAGATCAGGGGACCCACATACTGACAGGTGGTCAAGAAAAGGGAATGAATAAAGGGTGGGTAATACCCTGTTGTCTTTGTCCATAAGGAAAGATGATAACTATTATATATTATTATGTAATAATATAGAAACTATTATATATAATAGCTAATATATATATTACTAAGTAGATCTCAAACTGGAGGCTCTTGTCTAGGCAATTTGTGCATATCAGGAATTCTTGGTTTATTTTTTTTAATTTAAAATGTTTTAAATTTAAACATATTTTGATCATATTCTCCCCCTTCTCCAGTTCCTTCTAGATTCTCTCCCCCTCCATACACACCCAACTTTCAGTTCTTTCTCAAAAAACACCAAAATCCACCAAAACCAAGAAAAAAATAAAACAGCACTTCCAAAGAAAAATGAAACAAAACACTAAATTGTAACCAAATAAAGACACACAAAAAATTTGTGGAATTTATTTTATGTTAGTCAAGTACTCCTGAACATGAGGCCTTCACTGGAGAGGTTACTATACTCAGTGGCACTCCATTGAAAAAAACTAATTTTTTTATTAACTGACAGCTCAATTGTTAATCTTTACCCTTGTAGCTATGTTTTCATTTTCATTTTTTCTTTCTTTTTTTTCTTTCTCTTTCTTTCTTTCTTTCTTTCTTTCTTTCTTTCTTTCTTTCTTTCTTTCTTTCTTTCTTTCTTTCTTTCTTTCTTTCTTTCTTTCCTTCCTTCCTT